AGGGTCGAACCCCCGAACCCGCAACCTCACGATTACGAGTCCGGTAACCTAACCACTAGGCCACCGACGCCACCCAAGCCCTTAGAATGAATGACAGGGTCCTAACTCCGTGATGTGGGTGGTTGGAAGGCGCTGCTGGTAGATCCTGTTTCTTTACTTTCACTCTGTTGTTTCTGTCTGTCTGTTTTACTTTTTACCAGCACTAACTGACTGTTATTTTGTCGATGTATTTCTGTTTACTCAAACAAACAAAAATCACTGCATGGTGCTTTTTGGGGTTGTTGTGGGGGGGTTTTTTTGTGTTGTTTTGTTTTTTGGGTTGTTGTTTTTTGTTTTGGGGGTTTTTGTGCCCCCCCCCCCCTAAGTCATTATGACCTTATGCAGTTGCAAGCGCCGTAAAACCTCTACTAAAACAAAAAGACTCTTACAAAAACTAACGCTAAAAGTGGAGTAGGAACCCTGTCGTTCTGAGGGCACGAAATAGCGTTAAAGGTAGGCTGGTGTTCCACATTAGAAGTGGGCAAAATCCGGATAAATATCCGGATAATCAGATAATCCTCAATAAGACGTTATCCGAATTCAGACTCTTAACTCTTTTTCCTGACCCGTTTGCCGAAGTGGGTGCACCCATTTGTTGAAGTGATGCTAACCCGTTTCTCAAAGTGGTTCTAACCCATTTGCACAGGCAGACAAACAAACTGATAAACAAACGAACAAACAAACGCCTAATTGTAAACTATCCCTGACATATCCTCATATTTTGTTTTCCCTCTCCTCCCAGGCTCTGCTTCAATCTCATGACGTGGTGGCCCATGAAGTGTACAGCGAAGAGTCCGCCCACCACCCGTCACCAGGCCCCTCCCACACGTCTTCTGGTCCCGCCCACAACTACGTCAATGGCAGCATGAGCGGAGGGGGGCGGGGCAACGGAGAGCTGGATGGCGGAGGGGGCGGAGGCTACAGAGGGGACTCGGCAGACGGCGTCCTGAGAGTGCGTCTTGTGCAGTTCCAGAAGAACACTGATGAGCCCATGGTGAGTGTGGCTGACTGGGTGGGGCACGGGCGGA